TTCCAATTTGCTCATAGCATCAGCCTTTGGATCTAAATCATGAACCCATTTTGACTTTATTTTGGTATGTGGTGTGAGATGTTGGTCTATGCCTAGTTTTCTGCCGTACTGTTTTCCAGTTTTCCCAGCAATTTTTGTCAAATAGTGAGTTCTTATCTCTGAAGCTGGAGCCTTTCGTTTTATCAAACAGTAGATTACTATAGTCCTTGACTACTTACTATGCCTTGTATACCTAACCTGTTCCACTGATCCACCACTCTATTTCTTAGCCAGTACCAAGTAGTTTTGATAATTGTTCCTTTATAATACAATTTAAGAACTGGAACAGGTAGGCCACCTTCCCCTGCGTTTCATTTCATTAGTTCCCTTGATATTCTGGACCTTTTGTTATTCCAAATGAATCTTGTTATTATTTTTTCTAACTCTATAAAATAATTTTTTGGTAGTTTGATTGGTATGGCACTGAATAAGTAAATTGGGTTAGGTAGAATTGTCATTTTTATTGCATTATCTCGGCCTACCCATGAGCAAGTGATGTTTTTCCAATTATTTAGATCTGACTTTATTAGTGTGAAAAGTGTTTTGTAATTGTGTTCATAGAGTTCCTGGGTTTGTTTAAATGCTACTTCTTGAATGAGTCCTGTCCTTATAACCTCCAATTGTTAGTGTTTCCCAGCAAATTACTTTGTTTTCTCTTGGTATATATTTTGAATTATTTATCTGTGTACAACTTGTTCCCCTTCCCCCAGTGAGATGGGAGTTATAAAAGTTTTGTTCTTGCATCACCTTGATTTCCCAATATTATCTATTTTCTCTCCTCCTCCTTCCCAGAGCCATTCTTACAAGGAATAAAAAAGAAGAAAAACTATTTTTAAATGGTTCAGCAAAACTGACCAATAACATCAGTTAATTCCGACATTATATGAAGTCTTTCACTTCTATAATAAGATGACCGGGCCGCCAGGTTCCGTTTAGGTGATTTGGATACCTCAGTTTCCCTACTGGAACAAAATGAGAAACTTGTTGATCTGACAGTTAGCAAAAGGCAGTTTTCTTAGCTCCAGCAAGAGAAGGGCGTTCAGAGCAGAGAGAGGATACTCACTGAAGATACAGTCTACATTCAGCTGAGCGTGCCCTTCCTGTGCTAGTTTGATCATGCTATTGGTCTGTATTCAGAAACATGAGTGAGGAGCTGGGGATCCTTGTATCTTAGTTGTTTTTGTACTTAGGTGATCTGGAAGCTGCTTCAGTAGCCTGAACCTTAGTCCCCCTGAGCCATTTAAATCTTGAACATGGTTTCAATCCCTTTTTAAAGAAAAACTAATCTAACCTAAAAGAGTGAGACCTTAGGTTATTATCCCTAGCACAACACTCATTGTTTCTTACCTCTGCAAAGTAGTGAGGGAAGTGTATTCTCATATCTTCCTTTGTGGCTAACTGAACTTGATGGTTATAATCTTGGAGTATTCTGTGCAAATTATTGTTGTTTCCATTTATATTATTGTATGTTGTTTTCCTGGTTCTGCTAACTTCACTTTGTATCAGTTCATCTAAGTCTTTCTATACTGCTCTGTATTCTTCAAATTCCTGGTTTCCCATGGTGTAGTATTGTTTCATTGGATTCATGTATCATTTGTTTAGCTATTTTTCAGTCAGAGGGTATCTATTTTGTTTCCAGTTATTTGCCACTATAAAAAGTGTTGCTATAAATATTTTGATGTATATGAGACTTTTGTTTTTTATCGTTGGTCTGCTTGGGTATATGAAGAATATAAGCTTCTTGAGAGCAGGGATTATTTTTATTTTTGTCTTTGTATGTCCATTGTTTGAAACAGTGCCAGGAACATGCTAGATATTTAATACGTGCCTGTTGGATTGAATAATTCTAAGTATGACCAATTGACTATTTTCCTTGAACAGTATCTCACTAAAATAACCTTATTAGAAAAAAAAAGTAATTAAAAGAGAAAAAAAAATCTGCATGTTTATCCTATTTTCTTACCATCTCCTGAAACTTTTGACTATTGACCTTAATATGGCAAGAGTTGTTAGTTTTGTTCCAGAGGAAGAGACCCTTGGCCAGTTACCCTACATATTTTCCACTGCTGCCATTTTCCTGAAGGAGAACGTATGGGATTTAGGACTGTTGTCCATATTACTTTCTAACCTCTCCTTTTTGTCCAGCAATAACCTCACAGTACTTCAGTTCTTCCTTCTCCAATAGATATATTGTGAGGAAGGAAAAGAAGTGACGTTGCAGGTACACTAAAAGCTGAGATAGCAGGGCTAAGGGCATCTGCTCTGGAGCTTGCATAGTCCCCAGTTCCCTAAACTGTCTTTGCCAGAAGCTAGCGGAAAAGGAAGGTTTCTGTCAGTCACCTTGTTGTACTGACTTATCCTAAGTTCTTTGTAGTATTGCTTATTTTTTGTTACCTTGATAACACTTATCACTCCAGGTATTGGCGGGGAGGGGAGAGAACCAAACCTGCTAGTTAGTAAGGGTGCCAGGAGCTGCTTTCTTAGATTCTCACAACCTGGGATAACCTTGGGAAGAATGACATCCTATACAGAATGTATATGTGGTGGCCTACTCCAGTGTTTCTTCTTTAGCCCCGTCTTTTGAACCAGATCTTTCTGTGTGGTGTAATGGTTGGAGGAACAGGTCTGCGATGATGGTGACTGAAAGGGAAGGAAGACATACAAGAAAGAGAATGAGGATAGGGGAATAAGAAAAGACAAATGGAGAGAGCCATATGAGGAAGGAAGAGACAAGGGCAGAGTGATGATGTGACTCAGGATTTTTAAGTCATTGCTAATCAGTGTGACAACTCTGGGCAAATTCGTACTTGTAAAGCATAGTTGGTGCTTAATACAAGTTTGTTCTCCCCTCTTCCCTCCCCCATGCAGACCATAAATCTCAGCACCCCTGGCTAGAGAAAGTTACCTTTTAGAGGTAAATGTCTTCAATTATCCTTCAGATTGGTTTTTCCAGTGTGCTTAATTTGGCCTTTAGATTAGAAGCATCCATTTAAAAAGGTGTTGAACAGTGAATAGTGTTGGATAGAAACTTTTATCTGCTTAGGTTCCCATCAAACAGAAGTGATGTTAATTTTTTGGACTGTTACAGTTTCCGGTTGGCTTCCCTAATTAATGAATTTCCTCATTAATGAAGGTTAAGTCCTAGGAGGGATTCCCACTGTTTTTTTCCCCACCATTCCTGGTGCTGCAGGCTTTTCGTTCATTTTTGTCAACCAGTTCTGGGGACCCTGCAGCTACAAATTAGATGACAAAAGGAGGAAGAAGACATAATGGGTCCTAGGATCCAGCAAGAAGTCAGAGAAACTTCCCTGATTGCCTAAGGAGAAGTTCCTGCCTTACTGTCCCAGTCCCTGGGGCTCTGGAATATTTCTCTAGACCAAGTTCCATCAAGTTTTAATGCTTCTCCATAGAAATTATATCTCTATGGCTAGAAAAAATGCTTCTACCACTGTTAAGGATGTCTAGTCCTATTCTGGACCACTGAAGATAGCATGAATCTTTATCTGGGGTTACCTAGGGCCACACGGGGCCACAGGTTCTTCTGTTTAGAATCTTAGGAGCTACAACAATAGCAGAGACATATCAAGAAGCAGGCAAGTGGTAACCTTTTCTGTCTTCTTGCTTCCCGTCCTTTTTTCCTGATGAGCCATTTATTAGTTCTGCCTTTCCTTGGCCACAGGAGAACATGTGTAGTGGTTGCCCATCCTCTTTCTAGGTACGTAGAGTAAGTACGTGCCTACATCTGTTTGGTAAATGTGTGGACCTGCCATGTGGAAGCATGTGGGTGGATGGCCATTTGAGGTAGTCAGGGGGTCAGCAAGCATTCCTCAAGCTCTTCCTCTGTGCCAAGCACCATGCTGGAGATGCAAAGAAAAACAAAACCAGTCCCTGCTCTCAAGGATCTCACAGTCTAATAGAGGGTGACAACACATGGATAACTGGATAGGCCTAAGATATAGACAGAGTAGGTAGAAGGGAGTCTCATAGGAAAAGGCGCTAGCATCTGGGAGACCTAGGAAGGGCATCTTGAAGAAAGTAGAGTTTGAGCTGAGTCTTGAAGGAAGCCAGAGAAACTAAGAGGCAGAGGTAAGGAGAAAGACCATTGCGGGGATAGAGATAGCCAGTGCAAGGCCTGACTGGATTACAGAGTGCATGGAGGGAAGGAAAGTGTAAGAAGACCAGAAAGGGGCTAGGTTACAAAGAGCTTTAATGCTAAACAATAGTTCTTTATATTTAATCCTGGAGATAATGGGAAGCCACAGAAATCTGTTGAGTAGTGAAGTGACATGTGCTATTACATTGGTAGCTGAGTGGATCGAACAGGCCGAGAGAGATGATGTGTGTTCAGTTATCCCTGTGACATATACTTTTCTCTTACTTAGTAGGGTAGGTGCATGGGAAAGGGACTTATCCAGTCATTGATTAGGGGACATGAGCAGAATTAGAAGCAGGACTGATTCTTAGTAGCAGGCTGGTGACAGGGGCTCCAGAGAAGCTCTTTCACTTTCAGCGGAGGCAGTATGAAAGCACTACTAGAGGGACATATTCTTATCTAACAGTACTTGAGAGAAAATATGAGGAACATGTTATAGGATAGAAGCAGAACTAGTTCACTCTCCAGGCCCAAATTCAAGAAAACACTCCTGGGCAATGTAAGTAGTAACTTTGAGCTCACATCCCACAGGCTCTTCTCTTTCTGATGCACTAGTTCAGAGTTGCTACCTCAAGCTCCCGGAAACTTCCAACCAGTCCAGCTTCCTACCAGAAGGCCTAGGTTCATGAGGCAATAATGATTTTTTTTGGTTGACTGATGATATAATCAGAACTCTGTGTAATTAAGAGAAATGTTTTTGGGGGTATATTTTGATAGGTTGGAAAGGGGAAAAAATGAATTTCGAGAAGTTATAGGATGAGGTCAGCTATGGAAATCTCCCTGATTATTCCTGTACTATCTCTTCCAGATGTGTAGTTGTTTTATTCAATCCCCGAAAGCACAAACAGCACCACATCCTCAACAGTTCCAGGTAAGTCAGCACTGAGCTCCAGGGAACCTTCCTGCATGTGCGCCCTGGGATTGGGCTGGTCTAATTTCTCCTTATCTGGGTAGGCTTGGTGGAGAGACCTGTCCTTGTCTCTTGACCTCGTGACAGCCTCAGTGACCTTTTTTCTTTGGGGGATGAGGGAAACCTGCATTTCTGTCACGGGGCCTCCTTTGGCTGTCCACACAGCCTCCTTTATTGCTCTAGCCTAGCCAGGTTGTCTGGATACCAGGTGTAACTACACAGATATCCAGTTGTACCTGTCCTGGCTTCCACTTATTTCTTTCTTTTGTAGGAAAACCATCACTGCTCTTGCCTTCTCCCCAGATGGCAAGTACCTGGTCACTGGAGAGGTGAGTGACAGGGAGGGAGCCAGTAACACTAGGCCAGGACAAGGTTTCTTTGGCTCTCCCCATGAACTAGTCCTGGGCCCCTTTGATGTTTACCCTCCTGGCCTGTTGCTGGGTTCTTTTAGTTCCCTTTCCTGGCTGTCCTTGGATACTGTATCTTGCCCTCTAGGGCCCCCTGCTGGGTCCGGACAGAATGCTTCCTGCCTCCTGTTGGGGTGTAGCTGGAAGGAAGCAGTGGTGAGCCAGGGACTTGCACTGTAGAAGAGTATCATGTGCATCCCCTATCGTCTACCTTTTCTTCATTCCTATTGCCATAGAAGTCAGGGAGTCAGGCGCTCCCTGCATTGTTATTGTCACATACTCTAATATTCATTCAATAAACGTTTATTGAACTCCTTCTCTAGTGCTAGATAAATGTTATTTGTTGTTATGTTATCATCATTATTGTTATTTGCTAAACTCAGGGAGTATAGGAAGATGAAAAGTAAGCGTCATGAGTGTAGGGATGCCTGTGAGACTTCTAGTACACAGGTAACTCATGCAAAGGTAGAAGATGGTCTGGGGCTACTGTGGGCACCTGCAGCTTCCTCAATGCTTTCCTTAGAGTGGGCACATGCCTGCTGTACGTGTGTGGGACGTGGCCGAGCGTAACCAGGTGGCAGAACTACAAGAGCACAAGTATGGTGTGGCCTGTGTGGCCTTTTCCCCCAGCTCCAAGTACATCGTCTCTGTGGGCTATCAACATGACATGATTGTCAATGTCTGGTCCTGGAAGGTGAGTGGGAAGCTAAGGGGGATAAATGTGTGGACCCTGACAAAGAACAGCCCCAGAGGCAGGTTGGGGAAGGACGGGGAGCTGATTCTGTTGGTTGGTCCGTTTCTGCCCCCATGCTGCTGCTCATAGCCACATTCTTAGAAATGATGTGCCCTATAGAAAGGAGTAGTGATATAGCCAGCTTTGGAGGTTGAAGGAGCTGTCGGGATATCATCAGGAGATCCTTGTGGGAAGGAATTTTCCTAAGCCTTACACAGAGGGAAATGTTTATCTGTTTTGATCAGGGATCCTCATCCTAGCCAGTCTTCCTCTAGGCTCAGAATCTCAAACCTTCTGCAAGCTCTACTCTAGGCCTGGAAGAGAAGTTTCCTAATTATTGTTTTGGCTATCTCCCCAGAAAAACATTGTGGTAGCTTCCAATAAGGTTTCAAGTCGAGTGATGGCTGTGTCCTTTTCTGAGGACTGCAGCTACTTTGTCACTGCTGGCAACCGGCACATCAAATTCTGGTACCTGGATGACAGCAAGACTTCAAAGGTGAGAGTGATGTTGAAAGTGGCTGCCATGTCAGGGGTTACCATTAATTCCAGCCCCTACAAGCCCTTACCCTCTATATTCTTCCATACATCTGGTTTTCAGTCATACTTACTGGGAAAGCCCCTATCCCAGACTTAGCCACAGCTTAGGCCAAGGAGTCCTAGATATCTGTGACTTGTATCTTCCCTTCCTGCCCAAAGCCTATTCACCCTCTCCTATGTGACTAGGATGGTTGAGCATTAGCAATATGTGCCCATAGGTGAATACCACAGTGCCCTTGCTAGGCCGCTCAGGACTGTTGGGGGAGCTTCGGAACAATCTTTTTACTGATGTGGCATGTGGCCGAGGAAAGAAAGCAGACAGCACTTTCTGTATCACCTCTTCTGGACTGCTGTGTGAATTTAGTGATCGAAGGCTATTGGACAAATGGGTGGAACTTCGGGTAAGTGTGGGTCTGATCACTGAAGGGTCCCAGGCAGGACTGCTGGTTGGCTCATGGGGAAATCTAGCGCCTAGAGCAGCTCACCAGGGGCCCCTGAAGATTATGACCCCATTGACAACCAGCAAGAAAGGGAGAGAGGCCTTGTGTGGGATAGGATTCTTCCACGAGGAAGCAAGACCCAGGGAGATGGAACCTGGCTCAGCACAGAGCCTCTGGCTAGCTGTGTAACTGCTTCCTTTCTGCTCTCTCCTTCTGCTTTTCCCTTCCTCTACCCAGAATACAGACAGCTTCACAGTAAGTGGTGCCCAGACTTTCCTTTTCTCTCTCACTTTTTCTATAGCTCTTTTGAATATTTGCCTAGCCCCTCCTGCTTCATCTTCCTTGTCACTTTCCCTGCTCCCCTGCTACTCTACCTAGAACCACTCCTGGTGCTTGACGAGTGTTCCCTGTGTGTTCTGGGTTTTTTGGGTAGCCCTGTAGGGAGTGCCTCCCACTCTTCCTGTCCTCCCTAGTCACTGCTGCTCTGCAGCTGCTAGAAGGCAGCCAGAGGTGCTCTGGGCAGCAGCAACCATGCTTGCTTCTTTCCTTGCCCAGGTTTTGCCATTTTCTCCTGTAGACAAGTGACTGGTTGATGGAAGCAAAGGGAAGAGGGAATGATGGGGGCAGTTGTGTAGGAGTACATAGCTATGGTAGACACATATACCTGAGTAGGGGGAGTATTAGGGGGACATTATTCATTCTGCCTTTCTTCATGAAAAGTAGGTTATAACTGAGTACCTTTTCTCCCTAGACCACAGTGGCCCATTGCATCTCAGTGAGCCCAGACTACATCTTCTGTGGCTGTGCGGACGGGACCGTCCGTCTCTTCAACCCCTCGAATCTTCACTTCCTCAGTACACTGCCCAGGCCCCATGCCCTGGGAACTGATGTTGCCAGCATCACTGAGGCCAGGTGAGTTGTGTATGCTCTTTTGCCACTTCTCTTCCTCCCCCCTTTTCTTTCATCTTCTGTTAATTTATAGTAAGTGAGGAGAACATCAGCTTCTTTGGCCTTTTCAGTTGGAGGCCTCTAGGAATGAACCAGAGATCCCCTCATTCTGCTCCTTTTTTCCTGGACTACCCGTTTCTTTATTCCCTTTATCCCTTTATCAGCTTCCTCCTTACCTGGTTGCCCTGTCTTTTCCCTCACAGCCGCCTCTTCTCTGGTACTGCTGATGCCAAGTATCCAGACACCATCGCCCTGACCTTTGATCCCACTAATCAGTGGCTGTCCTGCGTTTACAATGACCATAGCCTCTATGTATGGGATGTAAGGGACCCCAAGAAAGTGGGCAAAGTGTACTCAGCCCTTTACCATTCTTCTTGCGTCTGGAGTGTGGAGGTATGTAGTGAGAGGGAGGTTCTGTTTTCTTGAAAGAAAGCCAGGAGCCCTAGGATGTACCGGTGATGGCACTTTCTTCATGCTACTTCCTGGTATTCCAAGACAGGCCTCATATTAAGGACTAGGAAAAGGTCTCAATGGATGAACTTGAATTTGCAGTCCCCCTATATCTCAGATCCCTTCCCATGTACCCCTTGTATACCCATTCTTGGGCAGAGTTGGAATTGTACCTCTAGGTCCTGTCTCTTCTCCTTCCACTCCTAGGTATACCCTGAGGTAAAGGACAGTAACCAGGCCTGTCTGCCCCCCAGCTCCTTCATCACCTGCTCCTCAGACAACACAATCCGCCTATGGAACACTGAGAGCTCTGGCGTCCACGGCTCTGCACTGCACCGTAACATCCTTAGCAATGTGAGGACCAGGATTCTCAGGATCCTGCCCCAAATTGGGGGCCACTCGTACCTCTAGTTTGCTCCCTTATGTCCAAGAGCCTGTTTCTCATAATCTGTGTGTCTCATCCCCACAACTATGGGCTCTATGAATTCTCCCTTTCTTTTAGCTAGCTGTGTTGTACTTGGTATGAGGGCATCATGGCTACCTCACTCAACTTTTACCCCCAACTAGGACCTGATCAAGATAATCTATGTGGATGGGAACACCCAGGCCCTGCTGGACATGGAGCTGCCAGGGGGTGGAGACAAAACCGATGGGTCATTGGTAGATACCCGTGTGGGAATCCGTTCTGTTTGCATCAGCCCTAATGGACAGCACCTGGCATCAGGGGACCGGGTAGGCACGCTTAGGTGAGTCTCATCTTAAGGTATGACCACTGTCCTCATTGTCACAGCATAACCGGAGGGAGCTGGTTCCATGGTGAATATCAGATTTGAAGGGCTGTGGCCTGAAAGAGTGGGGGTAGGGAGTGTGCCAGTGAGTAAGGGACTTCTATTCTCTTGTAAAATTCTCTGGAAGCAAACTATTTCCACTCTCATCCTTGCAGGGTACATGAGCTGCAGTCCCTGAGTGAGATGCTGCGGGTTGAGGCCCATGACTCAGAGATTCTATGCCTGGAGTATTCCAAGCCAGACACAGGTGAATGAGGATGGCCCTGTGTGGTTGGCCCAGGCCTGTGCTACTGATTTGGTCTGGAGAAGAGCAATATTTTCCCCCTTCAAAATGGGGAAAAGAGTGAATTTCTGAGCACTCCCTATCCCTGACTATTCTCCCTGAAGTGCTTTGGGGTTCTGTTCTTACTGCCATCTTCTACCCTTCCTCCCACCCCTCCATATGTGCACATTTCACAAGCCAACTGGATCCAGACTGTGGGATCTAATATCTCCTGAGTTTTTATCTACTGGTTGATTAATTCCTCTGGGTTCTGGTCACAGGCCTAAAACTGCTGGCCTCAGCAAGCAGAGACCGTCTTATCCACGTGCTGGATGCTGGACGAGAATATAGTTTGCAGCAAACACTGGATGAACATTCTTCCTCCATCACTTCAGTCAAGTTTGCAGGTAAAGTTCAAGGGAGGAGAGGACTACGGAGTTTAAGACACGTCCTGATAGTCCTCTTGCTTCCCAGGGCCATAAGGGTTTTCCTGTAAGTTGGGAGGAGTGCTGGGCATCAGGGCTGCATTTAGGAGTGGAGCATGGTACAGATTTGATGGTGTTGAGGCTGTCAAGATTGTGAGCTGTCTGATTAACTGGTTACAACTCGAAATGGGAACAAAGCAAAGGAAGGGAATTCCTGCCGCAGAGACAGCTAGGGCAACTAAGCCTTCTCCTTTGTAGCAAGTGATGGGCAGGTCCGCATGATCAGCTGTGGAGCAGACAAGAGCATCTACTTCCGTACTGCACAGAAGGTAATGGACCCTGGGGCAAGATGGAGAATTGGCCTTGATAGCTATCACAGAGAGCCTCCATCTGCCTAAGAAGTGTTATAGGGAGATGGGAGTGAAGGCTCCTAGGGCTGGAGGGTTTCTGAAGGGGCGAGTATTTGAGTCTGGGCCCTGTCCACATGCTGTGTCCCCTGCAGTCTGGAGATGGGGTGCAATTTACACGGACGCACCATGTGGTGCGAAAGACAACCCTGTATGACATGGATGTGGAACCCAGCTGGAAGTACACAGCCATTGGCTGCCAAGACAGAAATATTAGGTAGGTATCCTCTCCTGAGATGGATCAGTTCTGCTCTCCTACTCCCCAAGGTACCAGTTATATACACATCAGCTTTAGAAAGCTGTGGTTTTGACCAGAGGCCAGGGCTGTGTTGATCTTGATGCTTCCTGTTTTGACGTTTAGAATTCTCCCTTGTGATCCTTACTGTTGTCAGAAGGGTGTTACCTGTCTGGGATGGGGTAGGGGGAGAGGGGCAAGAGAGGTAAAGACTCATCTATCACCCAGCCAAGTGCTGATCACTGCCTCCCACAGTAGATATACTGTGTGGGCCAAAGAAAGTAAATCCTCTCCTGTCTTTCCTTAGGATCTTTAATATCAGCAGTGGGAAGCAGAAGAAACTCTACAAAGGGTCACAGGGTGAGGATGGGACCCTCATCAAGGTAAGGAGACCTTTCAGGTTTGGTAGCGGTGCAAGGGTTGGTGGGGATCCCTTTTCAATAGAGTGTTGAGTGCTTTTCTGCCCCAGCCTGCCTCTCACCTCCCCCTATCAAATACCTCATCCTTTAGGTTCAGACGGACCCCTCGGGCATCTACATTGCTACCAGCTGTTCAGACAAGAACCTCTCCATTTTTGATTTCTCCTCAGGAGAGTGTGTAGCTACCATGTATGGTCATTCAGGTGAGTTCTTCCTCTCCTCCAGGTGGCCCTAAATCTAAATAGGGCTTGTTTAACCATTGATCAGCTCCCCTCTAGTTTGGACAGGCTCCTGGTGGGGATTATAAGAGGCTCATGAACTATACTCTGTGTCTTCTCCAGAGATTGTCACTGGCATGAAGTTCAGCAATGACTGCAAACATCTCATCTCTGTATCAGGAGACAGGTGAGCAGGAGAAGCCTCCCTTGGGAGAAGGAGCTACATTTCCCACCATAGCTTCTCTTCTGAAAGGTTCTGGACCAAGACTTTTTTACGTTGACTATCTGTTAGTATGAATGGGCTTCTAGCATTGGGTGGTTTTTTCTGTTTCTCGTACACAAAACTTGATCTCTCTTCTCCGTGCTTTTGCACTGGCTATTGTCCTTGCCTAGAACACACTTCCCCTCTCATCCCTATCTCTTAGAATCCCTTGTTTCCTTCAAAGTTCAGCTGCCTTCTGATGGGGCCCTAAACTGCTGTTGTTTTCCCCATCCCCGTTAAATTTGCTTGTATTTATTTTGTTTGTCATGTATAAACGTACGTATGTATTTGTTGTTTCCTCTTTTGTAATACAAGTTCCTTCAGAACGCGGACTTTTTACCTCTGTGGCCCCAGTGCTGTCACACTTTCTGGATTGTAGCAGGTGCTTCCTAAATGCTTTCTGAAAGTTAATTGATTGGTGAATTTCAGCAAGGGTTTCTGGTTGAGATTGAGATCATCATTGAGATCATCAGCCCTATTCTGAGCTGCTGCCATCTTGCCCACCAGCCCAGGGAGGGAGTATCATGATAATGCGGCTTATCCTTTAGGTTCTGTCTCTCCTGATTCTTCTTATAATTCTGCCCTTAGCTGCATCTTTGTATGGCGTTTGAGCTCTGAGATGACCATCAGCATGCGGCAACGTTTGGCTGAGCTTCGGCAGCGCCAGCGAGGGGGAAAGCAGCAGGGGCCATCGCCCCCTCGAAGAGCCTCTGGGCTCAACCGGTAAGGATCAGGGGAAAGGCATGTGTTGAGGAGTTGCTTTTAGCCTCTCTGTGACCTTGCTCGCGTGGACTCCTGCCTTCATCTCATCGCCTGGGCCATCTGTGAACACCTCCTTCTAAGACCCCGACCCTCTAATTTACTTCCTCCAATACTGATCAGTTTGTCCACTAACAACCTTCCCTTGTCTCTGTCCCTACTTCTGGGATCCCTGTTGATTTTAGCCGAGAGGCCCCTACAGTGCTTTCTCCAGTACCAGCCCTTTCCTCAGACAGTGACAAAGAGGGGGAAGATGAAGGCACTGAAGAAGAAGAGCTGCCAGCCCTGCCCATTCTTGCCAAGGGTACCAAGAAAGATCCAGGTATGTGTTTCCTTGGTGTAAAGGAAGAACATATAAAGGGCTCAGAGGAAGTAATGCAGGGATTCCCAGCCTGGGATTTACACACCCCCGGGAGTATAGAAGCTTGTCAAGGAGACATGATGATTATTTGGTAACTAATTATGTTATCCTATTGAAATTCATCACTTTTGTTTCTTATGTTCATATGCATGGTTAACTCTTCAACTTATTTCCTTTAATATTGACTAGGAACCACAAGGCTTACTAGAAGGAAAGGGGTACAGGGCCCAGAAAAATTTGGGGAGTCCTGAAGTTAGGGGAACAAGGACATCAGGATGAGCTGAAAGATCTCAGGATCAAGATGTAGAAGCAAATGGGATGTCTGCTTTGGGGTTGGAGAAGTCAAAGTTGGGATAGAAAGTTGGTTGAGCTTGACTTTACTCAGCATCCCCCAGATCCCTTTCCCAGTAATTCTTCCCCTATGACAGCTTCAGCCCGAGGTCCAGCCCTACCCCGAAGCCTGTCCCACTGGGAAATGAGTCGGGTGAGTACCTCTTGCTAATGTTTATTTACAACAGGACTGATCACAGATTGAGAATAAGAATCAGTTCCAAGTGGGAAGCCCCACCTTCCTTTTGCCATTTTCCTCCTGGGCACAATCAGCTCTGGTGCCCAGTAGGGTTGGAAGAGCAAGAGCAAAGTTGCTTTCATCATTGTTTGGAAGTTAGTTGACCAGCCAGGGCACGAGATGTAAGTGGTCAGTCAGGAAGTGGGTCACAAGCTCCAAGAGCCCTAGAGAATTGAGCATTTAGTAAAAACTCAAGGTCCAGATTTCCTGTGGCAAGATGCAGAATTAAACCTGAAGCCAGGCTGCAGACAAGGCCAGGAAACTGGGAGGCAGTGTGGCCAGGGGACAAGTGCTAGAGTCAGTCTGAGGACACGTCTGATGCTTACTATCTCTGTGACCCTGGGCAAGTCACTTAACCTCTCTGGGCCTGCCCAGTTTTCTCATCTATAAAATGTGGGAAGTGGACTGGATTGCCTGTCATCTCCCTTGCTGCTTTAAATCTGTGGTCCTGTGATCCTGTAAATTGTGTATTGCTTTAGCATTGGCCTCAAGAGACTAAGGATTTTTATAGCTGTTTTATAGCTATTTAAAAGATGCAAAACCACCTCCTTCTAGTAGACTGTCCCAGGATGGAAAAGGCCTAGTTCCTTTTACTGTCAGTGAAAGGTCCAGTAAAATGGGATTATGGGAATTCATCTCGTACTTCAGGACTAAAGTTCTTCAGGTCAGAGATGGCAGTGATACCTCTTCGGGGTTGGAGAGACTTTGGGGTCCCTGCTGGATATGTGCGCTCCTGCGGGGTTCAGGGTATTCCATACAGCAAACATTTATGAAACACCTGCTGCACGCAAGGCACAAGGAGGGGATACAAAGATGGAAATGAGGCATTGTTTGCTCTTGAGTTTGATATGCTTCAGGGGAGGAAGAGGGAATAAACATTTATAGAGCACCTGCTGTGGGCCACGCACTATGCTAAGTGCTTTTCAGATATCCCTGTTTGGTCAACAGAAGAACCCTGCAAGGTAGGTGCTGTTATCCCTATTTTAGTATTGAGAAAACTGAGGCAAATAGAGATTAGGTGCTTGTGTGGCGCCATTCAGCTCGTAGGTGTTGGAGGCCAGACTTGAACTCCGCTCTATCCACTGTGCCACCTAGCTGCTTAAGGACCATCCTTAGTTTTTGAGGTCCCCCAAGTAATCCATCATAGTAAGTGGAGGCTGACCGAAGCCTTCCCTGACTCTCGTTCTTATGCTCTATTTTCTTGGTCTCAGGAGGGAGTAGAATTCCTGGACCCAGCTCCTGCTGCCAGCCAAGGTCCCCGAAGACGAGGACGATGGGCCCAGCCAGGTGTAGAGCTAAGCGTCCGCTCCATGTTAGACCTTCGGCAATTAGAGACACTGTCCTCAGCACCTCGGCCACCCAGCCAGGACTCTCTGGCACAGGAGCTGCCGACTCAGGCCCAGCCTGAGAAACGTGGCCAACAGGCTCCTGTGGATGCCCATCCCGGTCAGGTGAGGTCTCTTTTCCAGGTGACTTCCACCAAAATCCAAATCAGCCTTACTTTACACCTGAAATCTGGGGCTCTTTCATCTTTTTTTGAGTTACAGATTCAGATTGGAATATATCTGGGTCTGGTCTGGCAACTAGGGTGAAACAAATGTGGCATTTGTCCCAGTTTAAGCCCCCTGAGTGATAAGGTATAATAAGTAATGACTGGGGATGGGCATCCATAGGATATAAAAGAGTGCAGTTTTTCCAGGAGCTTAAAACTATACAGATAAATGGTATCTTATCCATAAATCTCTCCAGATTTGCAATGAGAGCCCTGGACTCCGGTTCTTATCCAGGACTATGGGGTGCTCAGCTTCTCTTCAGGATTAGTATGGTCCAAGCTTCTTCCCAACCTTACTTCCATCCCTCTCTGAGGACCTCTTTTCACATCAGGAAACTCACCTGTGGCCTTCTCCATATGTTTCCAGAGTGGCAGTGTTCCCCAGTCCCTGACTTCCAAGCCTTGTGCCTGTTCTCAAGTTATCCAAATGATTTCTCAGGAAGAGGGGGTCTTTGCCCAAGAGTTGGAGCCAATGAACAATGAAGATGGCATTGTCTACCCAGAGCCAGACAATTGCCCTCCCCTCGATCCCAGGCAAGGACCCCACTCTGCCCCGTCCAGTCCCTGCAGGGCTGTGCCATCCCTGCCCTTCTAGCTCCTCTGGAATCTATTGGTTCCGGATGTGTACTTTCTCACTGAGACGTGGGAGCTTGGGTCTCTATCTGGTTCTCCCCAAACCTATATCTCCCCAAAATAATAGGCCCAAATGGTAGTCTGCCACCTTCCCAGAGACGAGGAAGAAAATTAGCAGTCAAATAAAGCAGTTAATCTCTTTTTCCTTGCTCTCCTTATTCTCTCTACTTGCTGGGTCTTGCCCTCCTGGCAGTGAGTTCCAGGTGCAGGCCCTTCCCTATGGTCCACTGGGTAGAGTGTACCCAAGTAACAGAGGCACTGAGAAACACAGTCCTGACAGTGCCTGCTCTGTGGATTATAGCAGCAGCCGCCTTTCCAGCCCAGAGCATCCCAATGAAGGTAAGAAGACCCTATCATCCCTAGAGCTTCCTTGATGGGCAGAGGGAACATGCAGATGGAAAAAAGGCTATGCCTTAGGGCCAGGACCACCCTGGGAGGGCTGAATGGTGGAATTGAAGCAAGATATGGGTGTAGTATGTCCTCTCCCCTCACTCCCACCTCCTTTCCCTAGACTCTGAGAGCACAGAGCCCCTGAGTGGACGGAATCTCCTCAGACCTTGAAGAACCAGCTGAGGGTGAAGAGGAAGAGGAGGAAGAAGAGGAGGAAGGAGGAACTGGTTCTGGTGGGCTACCGGGAGGCAGCCCCCGTACTCCTGACCAGGAACGGTTCCTCAGACGGCACTTTGAGACCCTGGCCAATGGGGCTGCTCCAGGTGTGGCCAGAGGGCCAGGGCCCTGGTCACAATAACCCTTAATCCGTTCCCAGTCTACCTGTAAGAGGGAGAGCTCAAGGGAAGAAAGAAAGACCTAAGGGCAGAGCATGTCCTAGGACTGGCCTTCCTAGGGCAGGGGCCCAGGGTAGATGGGAGTTGGTCCTGGGGTTGACTCTGGGTCCGGAGGGCTGGGGAGTGGTGCTCAGGTCTATGCCCAGCTCTCACTGGTGGGATCAGGGTTTTGGCACCGAGTGAGAGCTTAAGAAGTACTTGTTGACGGACTAGCTGTCTGTCTCCATGTCAGGTAGCCCAGGCCGAGCCCAGGAAAGGATGGAGCCTCTGAGCATATCATCCCGATTCCTGTCACAGGGGCAGACTCCCACACTCAGGTACATCATTCCCAATTTACAGGAGCCCAGACTCGGAGCTTGGAGCCCTAGATCCCTTCATCCACTTGCTGGCCCTAGAACCAGAGAAGTGAGCACCTCTGTCTGTGTCTCCACTTAGGAAGTGATTAGAAACAAGCCAGTCCTTCCCCCAAGGCTAGTGTCAGGCATCTCTGCAGCACCGTAGGCTTCTGTGTTCCCGTGCTTGAACCTCATCTGCTGCTTCTTTGGCTCGAAATTTTGGAGAAATTATGCTACCCTGCCCCTCTCATCAGCAAAGAAGAGGTCTTGCCCTTTGCCCTGCTGTCCCCCAAAGAGTAGTAAAAATGGAGCTTGAGTGGCCGCTGGACGTGGTAGGAGGAGCGTGTGTGGCTAAGGCGGGCACATCCAGGGATAGGCCATTCAGGCCTCTTCACTTTCTCAGCTTGGCTGTGTCCCATCTCATTCTCTAGGGATCTGTCTCTCTCTTCCTTGAGACCAGTACTACCACAGAGACCCATCCGGGTACTTCAGGCCCCCAGTGAGAAGCCTGCCAGCAGAGGCATCAGCCCCCCAGGAGTCTCACCAGAGGCCGAGCCAATCCCTGGTGGCTCTGACCCCCAGCCGGTGGCCCCTGTTCTCCGACGGCGCCACCTGAACCTGGCAAGCAGCTGGACACACAAAAAGGCTGCCTTCCCTGGCTCCGGCAGCGGCCTCCAGAAAGCCCAGTCCGTGCATAACCTGGCGTCACAAGGTGAGGGGCCTAGCTTGGTGTGGGTCCCTCTTGGACACTGGAGCTTAGGGGTTTCCGGGGGGGTGGGAGAATCTGACACGTCCACTGGAGATTATTCCTGTACATGCCCTTGAGTCTTTCCAAGCCCCTAGATGTTCCCTGGGCACAAAGCCATGACCTTTCAGGTAGCTTTTCTCCATTTTGACCTTAGTTATGTTTCTACAGATGAGCCACCTTTACCTGGTCCAGTACCCCTACAGCAGAGTGACGTCCAAGAAGGACTGGGCTCTCTGACCCAGGCTGATGGTCGCCCAACTCGGCCCCGTTCTTACCTGAACCCCACCACCAGCTCCATGGCTAAGATGTCTCGTAGCACCTCTGTGGGGGAAAACCTAGGCCAGGGGGAATTGGCTGAAACTCAGGTCCCCAACCCCATCAGGATCACATCCATCAGCAAGCCAGCCCTGCCAAGCCGGGCTCACCTTGTCCTGGACATTCCCAAGCCACTGCCAGACAGGCCCAGCCTGGCTGCTTTCTCCCCTGGGGCAAAAGGCCGGGCCCTCTGTGAAGCTCAACCGCTTGGCTCCCCAGGGGGCCTGGGGAAGAAGTCTGCCACACTAGAGGGGCGGGCCTGTCTGGGGGAGGGCACCATTCTCACACCCAGGACAGAGTTCCGGGCTCAGCCTGGGCCCCAAAGCTCCTGTGCCCAGGAACTACCAGCCACATGCCTCCCCCGAGGTCCTGAGAACTTGCAGCCCCCATCCCCAGAGAAGACCCCCAGCCCCATGGAACCTTCCAGGCCAGGGGCTTCCCTGAGCCAGGACTCAGGTGTGCATAGTTCCTCACCTCTCATCTCCTGTCCCCTTCCCCTTCTCTTGTTTCTGTTGGCCACTCTCGGGCTCCATCCCATTTCTGTGCATCCAGCCTCTGCTGTGTCTCGTCCTGTCTGCTCCTGTCTCGTTCCATAAGTCACTCCCTTGATGGTGAGACCCTCCTGCTGAACACCATGTTCTCCCTGTGCCTGCCTTGTCCACCTCAGTGCCAACTGAACTCTGGGACTGGCCCCTTTCACATAAGCCTCTTTACCGAGGGTGGGGGTAGATGTGGGGGTGGCTTAAGTGGGGAAACAGTCCCAAAAGGGTCCATGGCCCTGGTGATGAGCCTGAGAAGACAGCTGAGATTGGCAAAAAGACTGGGTACAGCTCTGGAATCTCTCAGCTTTGGGGTTCCTGTGGGTGGGAGGCCTAGAGGGAAAGTTTATAGGGATTCACTCAGCAGCATCTGTCCCTCCCAGAGCCGGTGATGATGGTGAGCATGGAACAGTGTGAGCGCCTTGTGGCAGAGCTTCGGAACAGCGTGCACCAAGCCGTTCAACTATACCGTTTGGTGAGTGAGAGCGGAGGGAGCGGTTACACATCTCTTCCTTTTGGCAGAGTGATGTATATTATTGGTCTTTACAACTGGTTAGTAATTGTACTTCAGAAAGATGGAACAGGACAGAGGAATGAGTCAGGCAATAAGGACGTCCTGGATTAAGTTGAAAAAGATATTTGAATTGTCTGGAAAGACAAGAGTCTTAAGCGATGAAGTTGGGTACTAATTTCCCCACCCATGGAGCCAAGGATCGGGGCAGGATTCAGGGGGGCCAGGGCAACTTCTGAGTGGAGGTTGGGCACAGCTTGAGTTATAGCAAGCCTCAATTAGTGTGAATAATGAATCCCTGAAATCATGAAAAGGTCATGATAGTCAAATTTGCGCTGCATAGGTCTGCTAGATTGAATCCAATTGCTCTATTTTACATAATTATAACTTCAAATAGTGTGAATTTGAATATATGCCATAAGTCTGACCTATCAGCAGTGCTAAGCTAGTAGCTTAATCTAGCATCCACCCTGGAAAAGAACCCCACGTTGCCTTCTGGGAAGGGAGTGGTGTGGAGACTTTTGAGTGCTGAAATAAGAAAAACAAATGAAAACAAATCCTTTTTTAAAAAAAAACAAAACTTGGGCCAGAATGGTGTAAAAGTGGTCCAAAGAAACTTCTCAGGGAAGTACAAAGTTTGCCTAAAGGAGGGGTGGGGAGCCTGGGTCCTCAGGCCACATGTGGCTTCAGGTTCCCCACCCCTGGCCTAAAGTCTTTTCTATTATTGATCAGGTGTGGCATTTTAATAGATTCTTCCACTAGAATGCTTAGCTTTGGCAGAAAGGGGGAAAGTTCATGCAAATCTGACCTCCACGTCTCCTGGATTGTTCAGATTCTGTTTTTTCTAGGGCCTTCCTTTAGCTTCCTATAGCTTTTCTTCCACTCCTGATTTTATCTTGTTTGAGATTCCCATGCTGCCACTGGACAGGTGCTGCTGCCCTTCTCATTCTCTTTTTTTTTTCCTAGCGTTCCACTTTCTTCCTGAAGCTGTACTCTGTGACCCATTCTCTCATTGCCCAGTACACATTATCTCTAGCTCTAGAGAGTAGCCGTTTTCTGAGTAGCTAATGTGGTTATGAGTTTGTGCACTTTGATGCAGTGGGACAAGTTTCTGTTGCCATTTTGGTCCTCTGCTGGCTACACAGTCCATTGTGCGTTCTTTGCATTAGAGATGCCCCTTCCACCAGGTGGTAAATGCTAACAAGTTCAATGACATCATTAACGTCATCTAAATCTACATGTGAATAGCTCCAGTCCGCTTCAGAAACTTCTCCATTCTCTCCACTTTTGCTCCAGCTTCTCTTGAAGTGGTGGCCACTCTTTTTGCCAAGACCAGTCCCTCCCTCTAATTATGCCCTCAACCCTATCCCTGCTTTTTCCCCCAGGCACCCTGGTTTGCAGCTTTGGGCATGATCCTTGACTCTTGACCACGTCTCACCTCTCCATATCCCAACAGGTTTTTTCTGCCTTTCCAATTTTTCTCTGGTCCATTCCCTTCTCTCCACTTACTCTGCTACCATCTAAGTTCAGGTCCTCATCACCTCTAACATGGACTATTATAATAGTTGGTCTCCCTGTCTCCAGTCTTTTTCTTCTCACAATTATAGCCTCCACACAGCTGCCAAAATCTTCTCAAAGCATAGGTGTGACCTTAATACTGCCCTGCTCCCGCAGTTTCGTGGCTCCCTGTTGCTGCTAGGATAAGATACAAATTCCTCTGTTTGGTATTTAAAGACCTTCACAATCTGTCTGCGGCCTCCTGCCTTTCCCAGCTGATCATACCTGATCACACCCCCACATCTGCTCTGTGTTCCTTTGTTCGCTCTTCCTGTACATCACACCATCTCCCACCTCAGCCTCTGTACATGATTTCTCTTGTACTGGAATGTTCTAGGTCCTCACTTCCACCTCTTTGCACCCCCCACCCGCTTCCTTTAGGGCTTTGCTCAGATACCACTACCTCTCACACAAGGTCTTTTCAGAGTTACTTTGTGTTGACTTGTCTGTCTGTACCCTGCCAAGGGCCTTAGGGGATGGAGCAATTACTGAGTCAGTGTTTGTTGAACCAAATCAAAGGGATTTTATGGAGGTTTTATTTGGCTATTGGGTTTATCGGGGTCATTCTGCAGATAACTTTTGTTTTTCAAGTCCTCTCTTGATCTGCAACAAAACAAGTTACTGAGAACCTTCTGTGCATAAAGCTTTATGCTGAGCTCTGGGGGTGACACCAGGATAAAGAAACAATACAGTCCCTAGTCCCCCTCTGAATTCTTGTCTGGGATGTAAACACATCCCACAGTTGGGATGATACTCTAACTGTTGTGCCTGTTCCTCTCTCTCTCTCTCTCTCTCTCTCTCTCTCTCTCTCTCTCTTTTTCTTTCTCTGTCTCTCTCTCTCACACACACACACACACACACACACACACACACACACACACTCACGTCTATGTAGATATGTATATGTATTTGTTTAGCTGTTGGGTGGTGAGATGGGACGTATCACAGCTTCTTCCACTGAAGAGGTGTTACTTTCAACTGACAAATGTATTTCTCCTGTAACAGTAGTTAGAATGAAGAACAGGTCATGCAGTCTTAACTTCATGATCCTTTTGGACAGTGTAACTGTAATACAGAACATTATTTTGCCATTTAGGTAGTAGGGCCCTTTAAGCCATGGAAAGCAAAAGTTGGTGCTTAATCTTGCCCCAGACCTCTTTCCTCCCAAATCTAAACAATAGTGAAAGGTACTCTTGCATAGCTCAGCATAGCCGTAGCTCCAATGCAAATGGATAAGAAAGCTTGCAATAGAATTGCTTTAGATAATTATGTTTATACCAGAGACCAGGACACCCGGTCTGGTTTGTGTGATCTCTGACCCATAATAATGGGGTGCTCGGGTGCTTGTGCTTGTACTTGTGCCCCAATTTCTCCCTAGTCTCAGAAACACTGTCTCTAACAACCCTTTCCCAGCTCAAGGACGCTGTGCCTAGCAGTTATTCATGGATGGGCCTCAGCATGACCCTTATCTCTCTCCCTGGTACAGCTACACAGAGCTGGGCTGCTCAGGCCCCAGCCCTCAGATCATGTCTCTGGAAGCCTCCCAATTCCTCAGTAAGTTCCTGTGTTGTGAGAAAGCTTTCCCTTGTTGCAGAGCATTCTCTCATCAAGACAGAGGGAGAGGGGTGTCCTTGACCAGCCCAAGAACTCTTCCTCTTGCCAGACTTCAAAGATCCATCCCCCTCCCTGTCCTGTATACTCCCTGTACTTTCCCATCCATAGCCCCAAAGACACCTGCATCTTTGGATTACCTCATCAGTGTTCTCGCATTTCTTTCCCATGCTGTTTTCTATATAAACCCTAGCTCGACCCCTGATGGGGGCTGCTTGATTTAGATGTAAATACCCCTGGCAGCCGCGCGCTAATAAATCCACATCTTAAATTACACCTGGATCTCAACTCGCTGATTTCTCGGTACAACATTTCTAGTCTCTCTCCTGTGTGTATATAACAAACATGTAAGTATGTAAAACATATGCATAACACACATACATATATACACACACATTGTGTATACATATGTACAGACAGTTCTTGCTTTATGTAAATTCACATGATGCAGAGTCAAGGGGCAGGCACCAGCTAGGACTCCTGCTTCTGCTCAGTGCAGTGAGGCCAGCAGCACCAGTGCAGCTGTGGCCTAGGGGTCCTCCACTCCACTGAAGCCACATGGGAGAGGAGGAGGCCCCCAAGAGAGGGGGAAGTCTGCAGAGCGATCCATTTATCTGAAGCGAGAGCTGTCTGTATATACACTTATATACGTGTGTGTGTGAGTTCTGCCCAAACCAGATGAAAATGTAATATGGAAATGTACAAAATAAATAGAAATACATTGCGACATAAATAATGTTCATTTGTGGTTTTCTAACTCAGTAAATGGCCAGTTGGTATCCATTTCTCTTTGAGGTTGATGCCACTTGGCTTTGAGCACTACAATAAGTGACTTGCCCTGGATTGCACAACCAAGATGTATCAGCTGCAGGCTTTGAACCCAGGTCTTCCTTTCTCCAAAGCCAATGCTTAGTCACCATTTATTCACTGCCCCTTAAAACTATTACAAATTTAGATACACATTTACCTCTGTAAATTTCCCTGAGTGAGAAGGCCACTGAGGAAATGCTTGGATTCTGACGGGGGAAGCTTTAAGGATGTTTGCCAAATCTAGCATTTGGGATGCTCATATCTGAACTCTACCTAAGAGCTCCTAGGGTTGGGGGTGAGTCAATAGACTGGTTAAAGAATGCCAGGAGGGACTCTTGGACAAAATACTGGCTCACATCCTACAGATTAGTGGTGCTAATATATTTCATTTTGATCTTTTACTGTACACTACTGTACAGTTTAAGAAAAGGGATTAGACTGTATTTCCAAGGCCTCTTCTAACTGTAAATTTATAATCTTCTTGAGATCTTTTTTGGATTGTATCATCCGCAAATTTGGCAACCATGCCATCTCTGCCTTCAAGTCACTTATACAAATGTTGACCGGAACTAAAGAAAGGATCCTATAAAGAATGCTAGCTATTAATGTGTATGATTGTTTATATACATGTAGAGAACAAAAGCTGGGGGAGAGAAAGTGAGAGAGTAGAGGTGAATTTAGGCTTGATGTAAGGATAGACTTCCTACATAGAACTGAACAATTGAGAATTTTTCAAAAGTGAATTGGCTAGCTAGCCTTGGGAGGTAGTGAATTCCCCTTCATCAGAAATTTTCAAATAGGGGCAGCTAGGTGGCACAGTGGGTAGAACACTGGCCCTGGAGTCAGGAGGACCTGAATTCAAATCCGGCCTCAGACACATAATACTTCCTAGCTGTGTAACTCTGGGCAAGTCACTTAACACCCATTGCCTTACTTAAAACAGAAATCTTCAAATAAAGGCTGAATGACTATTTGTTCAGTATGTC